TCATTTAACTTTACAAATAACTGCTAAAGAGTTTTCCAAAGTGATTCTAGCATGTTATGCTCCCATTAACGTGCAAAGAAGTTTACATTCTTATCAACATTCAGTATTGTCAGCATTTTGAAATTTTGGCCTTTCCAATTCTAGCAGAGGTGAATGCGATCTCATTGTGGTTTTAATTTGTATTTCCCTGAGAACCAATGACATGGAGCACCTTTTCATGTACTTCTTGACCATTTGTATATCTTCTATTATAAAGTGGCTATCTGCTGTTTGAACTATTTTTATATTGAGTTGTCTTTTATGTATTTATTTGTAGAAGTTTATTGATTCCTAGCGTGTGTGTGTGTGCACGCGTGCATGTGCTTATTCTGGATACATGTCTTTCATCTGACAGGTTATGTATTGTGAATAGTTTAACCCAGACTACGATTTGCCTTTTTATTTTCTTAATTGTGTCTTTTGATGAGCAGAAATTTTGAGTTTTGATAAAACCCAATTTATCATATTTTTCCTTAGTGCATTTTGTGTCCTCTCTATGAAATATTTGCCTGCCTGTAAAATGCAAAAATAATCTACTAAGATTTCCTCTAGAATTTTAATAGTGTTCACTTTTATGTTACATTTATAATTCATTTGTAATTAATTTTTCTATATAATGTTAAGTTGGATTGAACTGTTTTTTTCCATATGTCTATCTAGTTATTCCAATACCATTTTTTGAAGATTTCTCTTCCTCGTTGAATTGATTTGACACCTTTGTCAAAAATCATCTGACTGTATATTATGAATCTCTTTCTGGTCTCTATATTGTGTTCCATTGGTATATCTGTCTCTCCTTTCACCAAAATCTCACTTTCTTGATTATTGTAGATTAATGTTAAATATTGAAACCAAATAGTGTGAGTTTTCCAAATTTATGTTTTCCAAAATTGTTTTGCCTTATCTGAATTCAAAAATTTGGGACCAATTTGTTTATTTTTTTAATGCCTGTTAAAATTCTAATCATGCTGAATCTAGATGTCAACTTAGGGAGACTTGACTTCTTAAAAATACTCAGTCTGACAATCTATGAGTATGATATATATCTTCATTTACTTACATCTTTAATTTCTTTCAACAATACTTTATAGCTTTTAGTGTAGAGTGCTTACATATCTCTTGATAAAATTATCCTACATATTTAATACTTTATAATGTTATTGCATATGCAATTTTTATTTTTCAATTATTTGCTGCTAGTATATAAAAATAGCATTTACTTTTATATATTAATCATGTGTCTTGTTACTTTCCTAAATTAATGTATTAGTTCTAGTAGTTGTTTGTAGGTTCTCCAAAATGTTATACTAAAACAATTGTGTCATCAACAAATAAAGACAATTTTTTTTCTTTCTACCCAATCTTTATGCCCTTTATATATTTTATTTAACTTATTTCATTGGCTGTGATCTTCAATACAATATTGATTGGAAGTATGCATCCTTGCCTCAGTCCTGATTTTAGAGGAAGAACATTCACTTTAAATATAATGTTAGCTATGTTTAAATATTATACTTACATACCTAATATAATCTTGATCCTTTACAGATCTCCTTTTTCAGATTAAGAAAGGCTATTTTTTAAAATATATTTTTTATTGATTGCAGAGAGGAAGTGAGAGGGAGAGAGAGATAGAAACATCAATGATGAGAATCATTGATTAGGTGCCTACTTCACGCCCCCCTACTGGGGATCGAGTCTGCAACCCTGGCATGTACCAAATAGAACCAGGGCCCTTCAGTCCACAGGCCGACGCTCTATCCACTGAGCCAAACCAGCTAGGGCTAAGAAAGGCTATTTTTATTGCTAGTGTGCTGAGAATGTTTATCATTAATGGGGACTGAATTTTATTAAAACCTTTTTCTGTATATATTGAGATGATTCTATGTCTCTTCTCTATTTTGTTAACTGATTTACATTGAATAATTCTTGAATGTTAAATAAATCTTGCATTGCTGGATAAACCCCTATTTAGTCAAAATGTATTATTATTTTTACTAGAGGCCCAGTGCACTAGAGAAATTCATGCACTGGGGGCAGGGGAAGGGGGTCCCTCAGCCTGGCCTGCACCCTCTCGCAGTCCGGGACTCCTCACTCCTTACCACCCGCCTGCAGCGGAGGCAGGAGAGGCTCCTGCCACCACTGCTGCGAGCGGTGCTCCGCCTGTGGGAGCACACTGATCACAGGGGGCAGCTCCTGCATTGAGCATCTGCCCCCTGGTGGTTAGTGCACATCATAGCGATTGATTGTTCCACCGTTTGGTCATTTTGCATATTAGGGTTTTATTATATAGGATATATTGGTCTATTTGACTTGCAATTGTAAAGAATTTTTGCATCTATATTCAGAAGTACTACTAACTTCTATTTTTTAAAAATATCATTGTCAAGTTTAGTATTAGGATTATTCTGGCCTCACAACACAAGTAGGAAATGATTCCATTGTCTTAATTTTCTTTAAGACTTTGTATAAAATTGGTATTAATCCTTCCCTAAATGTTTGATAGCATTAATTAGAAAAATCATTTGAACTAGGAATTTCTTGTTTTTTAAATTTTATAATTACGATTTGTTTAATAGTATAGTATTATTAATATTTTATATTTATCCTTGTGTTTACTTTGGTAAGTGAGCATAAATTTAATCATAATATCCTTTTTTATCATTTTAACATTTGTAGTATTTGTTTTGCTAGACCCTCTTTCATTCTCAATTTGATAACTTTTGTTCTCTTTTTAATTCATCATTCTACCTAGAGATTTATCAATTTGTTGATATTTCCAAACTTATTTCCTTCTGCTTACTTTCTATTATTTATTATGTCCTTCCTTCTAGTTTCTCAGGTTTAATTTGTCCCCCTTATATAGCTTCTTAAGGCAGAAAATCAGATAATTAAATTTTTTTCTATCCTAATATAAACACTTTAAGCTTTAAATTTCCTGCTAAGCATTTTCCCATAGCCCACATATTTCTATATACTATATTCCCCTACCTTTATTGAGATATAATTGACATAACATCTGTAAGTTAAGGTGTGCAATGTGATGATTTGATACACATGTATATTGTGAAGTGTTTACCATAACAATATTAGTTAACACATCCTTTGCCTTACATAATTACCATGTTGTTGGTGGTGGTTGTTATGGCAAGAACATTAAAACTCTACTCTCATGGCAACCTTCAAATATACAATACAGTATTATTAATTATAGACATCATGCTGTATGTTAGATCCCTAAAATGTATTCACCTTATAACTGAGAGTTTGTACCCTTTGACCAACACCTCTCTATTTCTCTCACCTTCCAGAACCTGGCAACCACCATTCTACTCCCTGTTTCCATGAGTCCAGTGATTTTAGATTTCAAATATAAGTGATATCATACAGAATTTGTCTTTCTCTATCTGACTTATTTCACTTTGCACAATGCCCTCAGGGTCCATCCATGTTGTCTCAAATGGCTGGGTTTCCTTCCTTTTTTAAGTCTGAATAATATATAACACATTTTCTTAACTCATTTATCTGTTGATACACACTTCTGTTGTTTCCAATTCTTGGCTATTGTGAATAATGCTGCAATGAATACAGAGGAAGTATAGATAGCTTTTCAAAATAGTTATTTTATCTTATTCAGATATATACCAAGAAGTCAGGTTGCTGAATCATATGATAATTCTATTTTTAACTTTTTTTTAATGTCCTCCATACTGTTTCCCATAGTATCTTTACCAATTTACATTCCCACCAATAGTGCACAAAGGTTCCACATCTTCACCAGCATTTGATATCTCTTGTCTTTTATAATTGCCATTCTAACAGATATGAGATAATATTTCATTGTGGTTTTGATTTGCATTTCCTTGATAGATAGTGATGCTGAGAACCTTTTCATGTACTTGTCAGCCATTTGTATGTCTTCTTTGGAAAAATGCCTATTCAAGTCCTCTGCCAATTTTTTAATCAGATTGTTTGGTGTGTATTTTTTATTGTAGTTTTATTTTGTTTTGTTTCTGTTATAAAGTTGTATGAGTTACTTACATATTTTGGATATAACCCCTTATCAGATATATAGTTTACAAATATTTTCTCCAAAACTCAAGAGTTGAGGGTCGTTATTGCTAATTGTTATAACAGAACCTTAAATAGGGAAGTTACATGATCAGAGCAGTGATTCTATAAAGATCTGTCTGGTGGTGTTTTCTAATACTGATTTGCAGGGGAGAAGGCAAAGGGTTGGAGCCATTTTCACTCCAGCTGCAATGAAAGATTTTGACTTGGATGGGGTAGTGAGAATGGCAAAGGTATAAAAGAGCTTTTGTAAAACATCAACTAGTGTCTTGAAATGGTGGTTGATAGAAAAGGAAGAATCAAGGGTATTTTTAGTTTGTGAGTGAGTTGTAATATAATACAATCATTAACAAAAATAAAGAAGTTAAGAAAGGAAGTTAGATTGAGTTTGAGTAAAATGATAAGTAAATGTGGTTTGGAACTTAATGTAACTGGGTTGACATCATGTAACCTAGTTGGAAAACACCAACCAATTCTTGAAAATAAAGAATTCGAATTCAGATTAAAAGATAGGACTAGAAATAAACTTGTGATAAATAAGTTTACCACATAAACTACAAGAGAATGTAGTCTGAAAGTGAGGGATGGAAAAAATGTGGCAAGGGAAGTACAAATGGTTTCCAGATACCCTCCACCCAGAATCCCTATTTGGTAAGATTTTACTACATTTGCTTTCCACTATATTTTAAGAAGATTCAGACACAGAAAAAGGGTGAATCTGTGTTGAGGTATTTTGTTTTCCGAATTCTCCTAAAAATGTTCCCCTGTATCAGAACCCCTCTAGCAGGAACCTTCCTATCACAAAGGCTATAGACTTCCTTCCCCTCCTTGCCCCACCCTCTCCCTTTGCCAACAGCACAGAAGGGGAAGAAGTGTGCACTTGGGGATGCTGCCAAGACAGAGAGACTGTGTGAAGAAGGAAGGAATCGCCTGAGCGGGAGTGTATTCTCAAGAGAAGGGGCTCTGTCCACCACACCACGCATAAGACCACCAGGAAGATCCCCACTGCAAACCAATCCAACCTTTCAGGGAGAGAGCAGGTAAGTCTATGTCCTCTCTGCAGACTGTTGGCTCTTCCCCAGTTCCAAGACCTTCAGGCACACCTGTCCTATCTGTCAGTTCCTGACATAGTCTTTGAAAGACTGAGGCTTCTGACAGCTGAAGTCAGGATGGCCAAGACTACTAACTAAGGTGCTAGGGAGCAAGAATCATTTCAAGGCTAAGGGTTTTCGAAGTCCAAAAAAGGATTTAGTTCATTAGACAGAATTTAGGAGGCCACAAATGGGAACAGAGCTGAGGCCCAGAGCTGAGGGATGGATGGGTGAAGGAGAGGCAGTGTGCCAAGTTCAAAGGCTCCCAACCAGCACAAAATCCTATCCATCTTTGGGCCTGTGCTGGGTCTCCTCCTTGTACCTGTCAATAGCATGCCTGCCTTCAAACCCCCCTCCCAAGGGTGCTCTGAGAAAGGCACTGGCATATGTCCTAGTGGAGAGAAGTCTTGTCCCCAGACACTGATGGGGGTACTGTGCTCTAATCCCCACAGGCCTCCTCATCTCATCATTATGAACTGGTGGTGCATGATCTCTGGGCTTATCGTGGTGGTGCTTAAAGTTGCCGGAGTGACCTTATTTCTGCTTTATTGTGAGTATTTGAGCAACCTCTTACCCCAACTCCATGTTGTCTTGTTCTTGGATCTTTTCTCAGAATGAGTGGTTAAATGTATAGATTAAGTGCCCAAGTCTTTCCACCTGAGAGCAACTGACAATACCCTTCTCACTTCCCAAAACACACAATGGGCCAGGTTCCTTGCTCTACCCTGGAGACATAGAATTGACTCTAAACCCCACACAAAGCTTTCATCCTAGAGCATGAGTTGGGTAATCTGAGCTGAAATACTCAGCAGTGCTTGCTATTGTTGCTAAAATCTGAAAATTCATCTGCAGTTCATCCTATAGTTGGAGCTGAAATATAAGATAATGGGGTTTTTCGAAGGGTGGCATTTCCTTCTGTGTACACAGAAATGAATCCATCTAAATGTTTAGAAAGAAAAGCCTCCTATCAAGGAATTTTACAGCAAGTAGAACCTTCTCCAGCCCCAGAAGCCAGTAGGGAAAATAAATGAGGAAGGAAATGAGGTTTAGGAGGCCGTGGTTGGGTAAGAAGTATCTTCCTTATGACCCAATGCAAAGGTACAACTTGTATCACATCAAAGAGCAGGAAGAAAATACAAATATAAATAAGTGAATGTATTCACAAAAAACACATACATTCATGTCTTTGTGGACCAGAGTCAGACAGTTCTATATTTTCCATTAAAAGTCACACTGACCTAGCAGCCCTGTGGGGATGTTTGTTATATTCATCCCACAGTTGGGGCTGAGCCAATAGCTGATTTTCTTTGCAGTCCCACAGATTTTTGGCCAATGTAATGACAGCTGCAGTCCCACAGGGAGCTATGGAACAGGTAACATGCATGACAATAATCTCTTCTCCATCTCATTCTAATATGCTGAATTCTCTCTAGAAACCTTTCTCAAGGACTATTCCCAAGAAGTTCTTTGGCAGGAAATGTGCATAAATATCTGCTAATTTATAATATATATATATATATATATATTCTGGGATGTACATCTAATGTACAACATGGTGACTACTGTATTCTATACTTGACAGTTGCTAAAAGAGTAGGTCTTAGATGTTCTTACTGCAAAAAAAAAAAGTGGCAATTTTGTGAAGTAATGAAGGTGTTAGCTAACCTTATTGTGGTAATAGATTTGGGAGTATATATTGTATTAAATCATCACACTGTACAACTTAAACTTACACAGTGTTATATATCAATTATATCTCATAAAGCTGAAAAAAAATAAAATAAATTAAATGCAACACAGTCAGTAAAAAATCTTCTATTTGGTCCCCTTCCTTTTATAGTTGGGAAACCAAGACTAGACTGAGTGAAATGCCTGGTCCTCAGTTTTCCTCCTGGGTCTGAAGAGGGAAATTAGTATAGAATCACTATGATGTAATGTGAAAGAACTTAGTAAACTCTGACATGTTGTGCACCTGAAGGAATTGTTATAAAGAAGTCCATTCCCGCACACACACAAAAATTGCATTCGGCATCTTTTTGTATGCCAAGCACTATACCAGACCAATCAGAGAAGAATAAAAACAGGACATAGTCATCAACTACAAAACACAAGGCATGATGCCAGAGCTATGGGGGATAAAGAGGTGGGTGAGGCACAGCTCTCCTTCCTAAACCGACCTCTCCCCCTCACTTCCTCTTAAGACACATACTACTTTGTACATCTTTAAGAGAATAATTGTTTCTTGTTTGTCGCAGACAAACAAGACACAGTACACTGAGTTAGTTACATGAAGGAAATACTCATGAAATATTTATGGAGTTCTGTTCAGTTACGATCCCCAAACCAGGTTATTACATATCACACACACACACACACACACACACACACACACACACACACCTTTGAACTGGAGACTGAAATAAAAAATGAGTGCTAACTTGTGTGCTTTATTAATATAAGTGTAAGAAGTAGCTGTCTGGGTCCATTAAAGAGGTCTTCAACCACGATGGACAAATAATTGGGCCATTGAGGATAAATTTTACTGCCTCTGAAGCCATTGCAGCTTCCGGCTCAGGCGGCCAGTGTTCCCAGGAAAAATGAGGCCTCTTGGAGGCCTATAAATTCTCCTACTTATATTCAAATAAATATTTGCCTCTTCTCTGCCCATAGGAAAGCTCTGGAATGTTTGCCTGCCTCCTTGTCTGCCCATAGCTCTGGCCCTGAAACTTGCTCCAGTTAGCCACAGTCCTTAGCGCTGATGAGTTCTGATCAAAGAAGGCTCCAAATGTTGCTGATCATGAGTTTTCATACAGGTTTTGAGGCACCAGAACTGGAGAGAGCAGCAAAGATGCTGTGTAGAGCGTGGAGGGGAAGTGGTCCAAATAGCTCTTTGGATATAACAGTGTGAAATGTGAACATGAGAAAGGAGCAGGAGGTTTCCTTCTGATACTAAATCCATCCATTCTTCTTCCTCTCCTGTTCTTTCTCTCAGCATTTCACACCCACTTCACACCAAAAAATAAAATAAAATAAAAAAGACATGAACTAGAGATTGGGGTATGGGACATGACAAATAATGGTAGTAGTTTGATGGAAGGTTCCAAGAAAAAAATCTCTGAAAAATTCTAGCACAAAATGACCAAGAGCCCCTGTCACCTCTATTGTCCAGGGACAAATAGTCACAGGGACTTGAAGCTGCTATGGGTCTGTGTGTTATATTCATCACAAGCCTACCTTAAGGTTTTCTTTTCCTTTCAGTCCCACAGATTTTCGGGAATAGTAATGACAGCTTCAGTCCCACAGAGAGCTATGGAACAGGTAAAGAGCATCGTTATAACTTCCTCTCCACCCCCAGGTTCTTATGTAATAATTTCTTAAAGACTTTTCCCATTGCCCCTTTTCTTATGAAACTGTTTTGCTCAAAGGAACCCATAAAGACCTTCTAATTCATTCCTTTTATGTTATGCATAGGGATACTGAAATTAGACTGGATGAAATTTCTTCCTGGATTGAGGATGATTTGTTTGAATATAATTGTTATAAAGAAACCCATGTCCCACTACATTATGACTCAGTTCCAGGGCTCTCACCTACAACCACTAATATCATGCTCTCTTCTCTTGGATTTCCTTAGTCTGCCCCAGCAGGTGGGATTTTCATCAAGGAAGATGCTTTTTCTTTTCCACCTCTGAAATGTCTTGGAACAAAAGCAGGGACCTCTGTGAAGCACAAGGATCGACTTTGGCCATTGTCAACACGCCAGAGAAACTGGTGAGAGCATGAGAAAGATACAGTAATGCAGCCCACCTGACACCAGTCTCAGTGGGAAGAGGGGTGAGACAATTTGACTGGTGGAACTGGGGTGAGGTGGGGGATGAAGAGGTGGCTGTCAGGGAGCTCAGGCTCCTTGTTCTGAACCTGGAGCTGGGGTAACAATGGGGTATGCTCCTCAGGTCCATTTGAGCTAGTGAAATCCATGAGGCACAGCAGTAGACTGTCATCCTGGGGATGGGTTGGGACATTTAAAGTGCAGGGAATGACCAAATGAGCTGATGTGTATCAAAATTGCTTAAGAAATATAGAATACTTCAAAGATGTAAGCTATTAATGTATCATGCCAGTCTGCCTCATTAATAAGGAAGATGCCAATTAACAAAATGAGTAAAACACAAATAATCCTATATAATAAGAGGCTAATATGCAAATCGACCGAACAGCAGAGCGACCAGTCACTATGACACACACTAACCACCAGGGGGCAGACACTCAACATAGGAGCTGCCCCCTGGTGGTCAGTGCACTCCCACATGGGGAGTGCCACTCAGCCAGAAGCCGGGCTTACAGCTGGCAAGCACAGCGGTGGTGGTGGCAGGAGCCTCTTCTGTCTCTGCGGCAGTGCTAAGGATGTCTGACTGAGAGCTTAGGCCCACGGGCTCCTGGACTGACGGAGGGCACAGGCCAGGTTGAGGGACCATTCCCGCACATCCCCCTCCCCCTCACCCAGTGCACGAATTTCATGCCCCAGGCCTCTAGTTAGGTCATAGAATTGGGATTGCAGTATACAATTATGATAATAAAAAAGCCAACACTATGCAAAAAAGCTTTGTTTAGTAACTTCTTTTATGCTCATAACAATTCTGAGGAGGAATTATTATCTGTAGTTTATATATAAGGAAATTAGGGCACAGAAAAGTAATTTGGCCAAGGCCATACACCTACTAACGGACAGCAGATGGAACTGAGATCTACCTCCAAAACCCATACTCTACTCAATTTTAGACCCTAATATATTTTATTTTGTAGTTGCCTCTTCAAACCTAAGCATTTGCTGCGTGCTAGACATTGTGCTATATACAGTAATCGTGCTTCTTTCCCCTCTATCCCTTCACCCTTCTTCTAAAAAATACTCCTGTAATTGAGAAGAGGGTCTTCTGTGATTCTGGGATGTAGATGTCCAACAAAGAGCTAAGAACCTCCATGGGAAGGAAAAGAACTTTAACATAGAGAACCAGGAGCAAGAGAATGGGGAGAAAAGAAAAAAGATGAAAGGAATGGAACAGAAAGTCAATAGTCTCATTGTCTCTACTAACCCTTACGTTTTGTGGCATCTCAAGTGTGGTCCTTGGCATTCTCTACTACTTGGCATTCTCCACCATGCCAATCCCAGAAAAAGCTCATCACACCAGTGGTTTGCTGATGATTCTCAAGTGTGTATCTCCAGCTCAACCTTCTCCAGCTAGCCTTCTCTAGACCAGTCTCTCTCTTTCTCTCTCTCTCTCTCTCTCACCATATTCAAACTGAGTCGTTATATTTTACTCCAACTGTTCTTCCTCTTGAATTCCAAATACTTGTATTGTGTCACCCAAGAACAAATACTGACAGTTTCTGGGACTTGATCTTTTTTATTCTCTCCTAAATTAATTGCTAACAAAATCCTTATCTTCTTATAGCAATAATTCACCTGTCATCTGGATTTCTTCAAAATTCTTCTAACTCCTCTTTTTATCCCTAGTTTTGACCTGTCTTACCTATCCCCCACAGAACTGATATAATAAAATATGTAAGGTTTTTAATTGTCTGTGCCATTTGCCAAATTAAAATGGGTTAAAGTCCAGCTTCCCTAGCATGACATATAGTACAGCCTCTGCCTTCTGCCAAGGGTTGTGTGCCAGCCCATCTCCCTTCTAGCTCTGCACCAGCCACATTGAACATCTTCTAGTTCCTCAAATGCTCCAGGTTGCTGTGTAGTCTGCTGTGATCGGATGCCCCCTCTTCCAGAAAGGATAAGTCCTGTCCCATGTTTTTGCCTGAAAAACAGCTATCTCCCCAAATTCATGTCATATATCACTTCACCTATAGTCTTTCTGGAAAACCCCAAATCCATGTAGAATTGGTCACTTCCCCTTTCTGTCTGTGCCAGATCTAGCATGTATCTCCTGGGACACCTCACTATGCTGGTTGACTCATTATCTTCTCTTATTAGACCTGTGTATCTTCAATGTGTTTGGCATGACTGAGGTTTTAGAAATGGTGGTGAAATCTATTCACCTCTTCCCAAAAACATTACATAGGCACAGTATTTTGAATAAAATTCTAACAGCTTCATAGATCACCTTGGAAACTATCCATGGTTTAGCAAAAGGGCTAAAGGTTAAGAAACCTTGTTTTAGACCAGAGATGGCAAACCTATGACACACGAGTCAGAGGTGACATGCGAACTCATTTTTTGGTTGATTTTTCTTTGTTAAATGGCATTTAAATATATAAAATAAATATGAAAAATATAAATCTTTGTTTTACTATGGTTGCAAACATCAAAAAATTTTATATGTGACACGGCACCAGAGTTAAGTTAGGGTTCTTCAAAATGCTGACACGCCGAGCTCAAAAGGTTTGCCATCACTGTTTTAGACCATGGGTCAGCAAAATTTTTCTTGAAGAGCCAGATAGTATACGTATATTTCATGCTTTTGGGGTCATAAGATCTCTGTCACTACTACTTTACACTGCCATTGTACCTCGAAAGCAGCCATAGACAATATGTTTAAAAATGGGCCTGGGTATTCCAATAAAACCTTTTTTACAAAAATGGGCTACAGTCTAGATTTGGCCCACTGGCTGTAGCTTGCCAACCCTTGCTTTCGATAATAATTTCTTCAGGAGAAATGAATTTGTTTCCATATCCCTAGCATTGTACAATGCCTGGTGTGTAATTGACACTCAAATGTTTGTTAAATGAGTAAATTTGCTAATTAATGTTTTAAAATAATAAAATTGGATATGTTGAGGAATGAGAACATTGAGAAAGGAGGAATAAAGGCAACAGCCAAGGGGATAGAGAGAATATCTAAGTGGATTCAGATATCCACTAATTGTGGAAGGTATATGAGGAGTACAGAAGAGGCCAGGAGATCCCAGACTTCTGGCTCGGGTGATTTGTTGTTCATTAATTAACTATGATGTCTTGGATTAGCACCAAGTTATGAAATACTCAATAAACACTGATTATTTCTCATGGAATTATCTGCTTTAGCAATACTCTTTAAATCTCCCTATTTTTTCAAAGAATTCACTTGACCTCAAAAACCTCATTCAGAATGTAAAATTTCTGGCAAGGAAAACAATCCTATGCAGAGAGAATCAAATAAAGGTGCATTTGAAATTGCCTTTTTTGAGATAGTATAGGGCAGTGGTCAGCAAACTGCGGCTTGCGAGCCACATGCGGCTCTTTGGCCCCTTGAGTGTGGCTCTTCCACAAAATACCACGTGTGGGCGCACATGTACAGTACGATTGAAACTTTGTGGCCCATGCGCAGAAGTCAGTATTTTGTGGAAGAGCCACACTCAAGGGGCCAAAGAGCCGCATGTGGCTCGCGAGCCGCAGTTTGCTGACCACTGGTATAGGGAATGTGTTAGAAATTGAAATCTTTAGAGCCCTACAGCAGACCTATGCAGATCTACTGCACCAGAGCCCAACAGCCTGTGTGAACAAGAGCTCCAAGTGGTCCTGATGCTGTGTGTAGACCGAGAATTACTTCTCTAGGATTTATGTTGAGTGTCAGCCACAGAGTCCTCTTACCAGCCTTCCTTGTTCCCAGAATCAGATATGATCATGGGCCCACTAGCCCCAGGAGGCAAGAGCAAAGAACCTTCTGTTGAACTGTTTGCTTGTTTTTTAATTCTTAGAAGTTCCTCCAGGTCATAGCTGGAGCTGAGAAGTATTTTATTGGCTTACTATACCAGCAGGCATCGAAGAGGTGGCATTGGATCAACAACTCCATTTTCAACGGCAAGTATGTGAATAACCCACATTTTTCTAGGGAACTTTGTTCACTTCAGGAGTCCAGATCTGAGATTCAGTGGATTTGTCCTGGAAGAGCACAAAGCTTAGACCTAGTTCTCTGTTCTGTTTCTCTCCTTTCTTCCAACCCATCCATTCCCAGAGATACATTTTTTGGTAATTTTTTTATTATGGAACATACCAAACATTTCTAAATAGAGAGAAGAATATTCATACAACAAATTATTTTGTTCAAATTAGGATCCAAACAAACCCACATACTAGTACATACCATTTGTTTGATCTATCTCATAAGTCTCTTTTAACCCACAGATCATATTTTATTACTAAGTTCTGACAAGTTTCCCAGATGTGGCTTCTTTATCCAAAGAAAGATAATCATTAGCAACTTGTCTCTGTCTTAAAGTTATAAACTTTAATTCCCAAGAGCTATCTCCTATCTTTCATTCCATGGACATACACTGGTGGAGAACATGGCATTGCCAGTGTACATCTGAAGAGGCTGAGTCAGATAGAAAGCAAGTCCATTCCCTGCCTGTAACTGGGCTTCCCACAGAGGAGTGGAAATTAATATTCACTGTCAAATAAATGCCAGACACTTTACACATGTCATTCCTGCACTATCCACAATGATGCTACAGAAAAAAAGCTTTTGTTAATCCCCATTTCACAGGCAGTTGGATGGAGGATAAGTGACTTAGAAATGTGTTGAATGTCACCAAGCTGAGAATTGATGGAGCCACATTTTGATCCCACATACACTTGACTTCATAACTCTTGACCTTTCCATGAAGCCAGACTCTTTCCAGTCAGACTAAAAGAGCCTGACTGACGGAAAAAGGAGGTGTGAGAAGGCCAATGAAGTATTTCTTTCCTAAAGCCACCTGCTGCCTAGAGCAAGAAGTATCTTCCTCCTCTCAGTCCTCCTGCTGTGCACATAGTACCCTCAGTACTAAAACATTACTTCTGGGAGGAAGTGGAACAAATGACCCATGTGGTGCTTCTAACCAAACACAGAGTGTGTCAGTCCAAGACTGTGAGTCCATAAACATTGACATGAGAGTTGACAGGAAAGGGTCAGTTTGGAGATGGATTTGGGGATAAGAGGGGGACTGGAATCAGAAAAAGGCAGGGCTGAACTGATGGGCCTTAACCATGTTGTTTTCTCATTCAGTATTACCAATCAGATTCAGAATTTCAACTGTGTGACCATAGGCCTAACAAACACATTTGATGCTGCATCATGTGACGTTTTGCACCGCTATATCTGTGAAAAGCGTGCCAACGAACCACCAATATACTCATGAAGATAGCAGAAGAGAACATTGATAATTGGGACTGATCCAAGAAACAGAGAATATCAAATTACTGTGTCTGTCTTCTACGGGTTACTGGCTGAGCTCCCTAACCAATCCTCGGGGCTAATGTACAGGCCCCTTTACAGATATACTTGCATGTACACAACTGAGACAAACCCACCATTCTGAGCCAGTAATTCCTCAAGAGTCCATTTCCTGTGAGAGTCGCATCTGTGATTCCTTTTCATCCGAACAAGTCATGAAGTCAATGATCCCTTCGTGCATCTGTAGACTAGAGGAGGCCTGGCTGTTTGGGGGAATGAGCTTCTGTATTCCACAAGAGGGACTGGATACTAGCCATCTCCAGGAAACATGAACAGTTTTGTGGAGGCACTTCAGTTGGTATAAAAACAGCTATGTTTCTGTAGAACTGAGCATTTCTCATTGGTCAACAGGGCTGAGCCTGTTGCTAGGGTCTGTCTGATCCTCAGAGCACCTGGCCATACTATCAGGAAAAACTGCAGACTGAGCAGGTGTGAACCTTATTTAGAGAGTAGCAAGGGTGGAAGATGGATAAACTCCACTTCTGTGCCCTCATCTCTGTTCCCAAGAGACCCCTCCACACACTCTTCATCCCTGCCCCTGGTCTGAACTGAGACTAGGCTCTGGGAAGGACTCTTGGAGTCGATCATGGAGCAGAGACAGTGTTGTTCCAGGGAATGAGGAGGAGTCCATTCCTGGCAGGCCAGGAATCTGCTAGGAAACCCCTTTTAAGACAACCCAACAGTCAAGATGATCAAGCTGACTGAATCTCTGTTCTTCAACAAAGCTCTAAGGGAGACTCAAGCTAACAATGTTCTTGGTCTTGGCCTGAATCTCCATTTTAACAGATTCTGATTATCTGATCATATTTGTTGAGTATATTTTAACAAACTGGGGTCGTCTCCTGGGCCCCAGTGATCACAACATATTCCTCTTTGCAGTTCTATAGCGACCCTGCCAGGTACAGCTTTGCACTTGTTGACATCACACTGATCCCAGACAAGTCTAGCTGATCAAGAATTAGAAAAGAAGGAGAGGGATGCTCAAGGAAACATTGGGTGGAGGCAAGGAGTGGGCATACAGGAGAAAGGGCACACCAGGAACAAATGGAAATCATTCTGGAGGAAATAAGAGTCCATTTGGCCCGATGGGAAGGAAGGCAAGAAAGAGGTAGAAAAATCATGGGGTAACCTGTCTGTTCTCTGAACTCAACATAGGCCACAGACCCTCCTCAGTGCATGGAAAAGAGAAGAGAGATGCCCACGGGTTTTCAGTAGCAAGAATTAAACCATGAGAGACTGTACAAAATAAATGGAAATTATAGTCACCTAAGTAAAATGCTTACCATTTATGTCTAATAAAATAAATGTCATTAGATGGATGTCAAATTAAATTACTGTCAGTTTTACTTTTATTATTATACCACTGAGCTCTGTTCCTATGTTACTAAGCGTCGTAGTTTTTGGTTAATTAGCATGCCACTTATTTATAATTTTAAAAAATGATATAATTATAACTTGCTTGAAGGAGATTGCCAGAAACAATTTGTGTTTGGGGTAGAGTGGATGTTGGAATTATATTAGTAGTCTCATGGTGTTCGCAAAGACCAGTGCTGCAGTTGAGGAGGGAGGAGAGGCTAGGTGTGTGGTAAAAAAAAAAAAAAAAAAAAAGAAAGAAAGAAAAGAAAAAGCAGAATTCTAACCAAAGTTAAGCCCCAGAATTCAGACAACAGAGTGAAAACCACAACCGTCTGTTTTGAGAAGGGAGAACTATGGTTGCCACACTTCTTATGCGATGACAGGAGAGATTGCAAACTTTTAGAGTCCGGAAATGTAGACATCTAGTGATTTCCCTAGGAGACAGCTCAAATTTTCCCCAAGATAAGGAGGTGTTCTATCCCAGTTCTAACAGAGGTCCCAAGAGCTGCGTTGGGGTGCTGGTGGGGAGTATATAGGAAATATGTGGACTATGGTTTAAGTTTATTACTGGGGGCAGGGGTAGTCAGGTATTAGGATAGATAAATGTCACCTTATAGGATAGCAGCAGTGTGGTTTTCATTTTTTATTATATATATTTTTAATCCACACCTGAGGATATATTTATTGATTTTTAAAGATAGGGGAAGGAAGGGGGGAAGAGAGAGAGAGGAAGAAAGAGAGAGAGAAAGAGAGAAATATTGACCGGTTGCCTCCCATATGTGCCCCAAATGGGGTTGAACCCACAACATAGGTATGTGCTCTGGCCTGAAATCGAACCCACAACCTTTTTGGTTTACAGGACAATGCTCCAACCAACTGACTACCCAGCTGGGCTGTGAAGCAATGTAAATCTAATAAACCACTGGATTAGAGTTTTGACTCTGCTTCCAATATGGTATGGGAATCTGTATAGAATTCTTATGTTCTCTGTGTCTTAATTTCCTTATGTATAAAATGGGGCAGTAATCTCTCTCACACAAAATTCTTGCATATAATAAATAAGACCCTCACTATATGTCTCAATGGTGATAAATAATGGGGGAAGCCTTTAGTGGGATATTTGCAGTTAAGACCTTTATCTTAGAATTGGCTCTTCAATTTGATTTTTCATTCTCTTTATAGTGTCCTTCAATGCACAAAAGATTTTAATTTTGATGAATTCCAATTTATCTATTTTTTTCCTTTTATTGCTTGTGCTTTTGGTATCATATCCATTAAATCGCTGCCAAATCCAGTGTCATGAGACTGTTCCCTATGTTTTCTTCTAAGAGTTTTATAGTGTCAGGTCTTATATCTATATCTTTGATCTATTTGGAGTTAACCTTTGTATATGGGATAAGGTAACAATCCAAATTCATTCTTTTGCATGTAGATATCCAGTTTCTCCAAGTGCCAGGTTTTTAATCTCATTAGATTGAAAATAATGTTCTATACAATTTTTTCCTTCTTGAATCTAATTATAAGCATATATCTAGATTACAGAAGCAACAGACTATAACAACAAAAGCAAATTACGACATGAAATATTACCCTATCTTAGACAAACATAATCTTACACCCCTGGATTGAAGTTAGGCATTGTGGTAGATTATATTATTCTACCACAAATTCGCTGTCCATCCCTGCAGGAGGACAATCCTTTCCTATCCTGCTGATAGCAGGTTTGGCCTTGTCACTTGCTTTAGCCAATGAAGGCTGACCGCAATTTACCATACTCTTCCCCGCCCCTGCCCCAGTTGGAGGCTGCCCCATTAGCCTGGACTATACAGAGGACAATGAAGAGCAGAGAGACAATTGACCCATAGTCAAATACTGGGAACAGAATAAACATTTACTGTTGTGAGCTATGAAGATATTTGAGGTTGTTTGTCATCATAACATACCTAGACTATCTTGATGCAAGAATGAATATCAAGTAGTTCACATAAAGGTATACAATTAGCATTGCACAAGTTAGCAGTGTAGGTTATTAGCACACTGGTTAAGCAGATGAACTCTGATGCCAGACTGCCTAGGTTTGGATCCTGGGCCCCTATATACTAACAATGTGACCTTGGGCAAGTCCCTTCCTATCTCTGTACCACAGCAACGCTTTTCCTAAGCTTTCAACTTTTATGTTAAAAACTAAAAATATTTCCTAAAATATTTTGATTTAACAGGTAGCTCCATTTACCAAGTGTCTTCCAGTTAGAGAAATATGTGTATGTAAATAAGCAGGTATTCCTGTATAATAGAAGAAATAAATACATAAATTCATAAATTAAAAAGGGTGAGAGGTTGAATTACTACATCCCTAAGACACAAAATAAATGCAATTATTTTATTTTTATAAGCAATACACACATGATTACACAAATAATAAAAAAAAATCTTAAAAGGCATGTAGTGAACAGTCTTGCTCCCTTCCCCATTCTTTGTGCCCATCCCCCTACCACAATCCCATAGGCAACCACCTATTAGTTCCTTATCATGCTGTTTAACAAGCAAATCTATATATATAAAAGCCTAAGTGACTGTTACGACCGAACAACCAACCCAACCGGAACAACCAGAAAAACCAGTCGACCAGTCACTATGACATGCACTGACCACCAGGGGGCAGGCGTCCAATGCAGGAGCTGTTCCCTGGTAGTTAGTGCACTCCCACAGAGGGAGTGCTGCTCAGCTGACCGACCAGTCACGGCAGCCCACCAGTCTGGCAGCAGCCACTCCCTCCCTCAGTAATCCTGCAGGTCCAATCTCTGGAGAACAGGCCAGGCACCCATGGACCAGCACCACTGGCATGATCCCAACAGCGCCGCAGGCCTCCTGGAAGTCAGCTTTGGGCACCATGGCCGCGTCCCCTCTCTATATTCTCCACAAGGAAGAAACAATATAAAAGTGGCTACCAGGTGACTTCCGACAACTGGCGCAAATGTCAGGGGGATGGATCCAGATCCCAGGCCAGCAAAGGCATTTTACCACCTGCCCTGAAGGGCTGATTGTGTACCCCCACACCGGGACCCCACCCATGCATGAATTCGTGCACCGGGCCTCTAGTATAAATATAAATATGCAGCAGGTTCTGGGCAATTTGTTACTATGTTGCCATAGGAACTTAACTCTCATTTATATCAATTCACTTATGGCAAAACTGGCTTTATACTACATCATTTTGACACTGTTCCATGGACCTATCAACAACATTAAGTGAGAACTTACTGTACATTCTTTTCTACTCCGTCCTTACACAAAAGGCTGAATACTGAAATTCAATGTACTTTGCTTTTCTCACTTACCAATATGGCTTGGAGATCATTTCTAACCATTGAAAAAAGAGCTTCTTTATTCTTTTCATAGCTACATAACATTTCATTGTACAGATAAACATAATTTTTTTAACCAGCTACCTATTGAATATCCCATTCAATTACTAATATTACAAAAATGTTGTAGCAGATGAAACTGTGCTTATGACATAAGCAATGGAAACAGTGGCTGGAACAGAGTGGGACAGACTAGGGGGAGGGCAAGGTTGGGAAATGCAGGAAATGAGGCATGAGAACAGCTCAGTGAAGAGCTGGATAATAGCACTGTAAACTTGGGGGTTGGGAGGAGCACAGGAAAAGGAGAACTAAGAAATACAGTGGAAAATCAGAGCCACAGACAAAGCCTATAAAGAGGAATCGGGAGAGAACGTGGGCAGGAGAGGACAAACAAATGACGGGGACCATGAAAGGGCTGGAGAATGTGGGAAAGGCACTTCCTCTCAGTCTGGGAGCCAGCTTGGTTTGTCACTTCAGCCCCAGCAGCAGCTTTGTTGCCCCACCTCCTTTGTGACAGGCAGCATGATCTGGAGCCTGTCAAGTGAGAGAATAGCTCCTTACCTAGCTCTTCCTCAGAAAGTCCACGACTTAAGAGATGTGTCTGTATGTAAAAGTCAAACCACCCTGGGATTGCAAAGGTGCCCAGAATTGTGGAATGAGTTCCTTCTCTATACTATGCAGAGAAGAAATGAGGCAACAGGACTTTGGGAAAGAAAACCAACGAAATATGTTTGAGCCAGAAAAGGAATAGGGAGCTTTATATGTAGGACACAAAGCACAGGACATATTATGGGAAAATGATTGGAAACCTAGAATTAAGTAGTCATTCAATTCTTCGGTTGGAGAATATTTTGTCTAGCCTTTTCTGTTTAGAAATCTAAATATTGCATATATTATTTTTACATTTAGTTTTTAAATGTTTTACTGTGAAATATCTCATAACTTGAAAAAGCATATGTGTTTGCGCACACACAGAGTAGAGCAAAAGTAGGTTTACAGTTGTGAGTATGCAAAACAAAGAGTTTATTCGTGTATTATTATTTACTAATTATTGTATTATTTTCCATACAAACAACTGTGAACCTACTTTTGCCCCACCCTGTATATGTATATATAACAAATTGGATTTTAAGATAATAAAATGAATTTTTTGAGATAATAAAGTAAATTTTCAAGTTAATAAGCAACCACATTAAAAACCATGGCCATGACTTAAAAGATAAGACTTTTGTTGCACACAGACTATTTGATGATGACAAGATGCAGTTCCAAAGATAAGTAAGTACATTTTAGTTTATTCTATAATCCATAAGAGTTTCCCCATGTAAAAGCCTTAGGGCATGAGAATCCCACCCCCACCCCAGCATGCACCCTTGTCTCTCAGTTCACAGGACATCCTGTCTCCAACTGCTCTGACCTACCATCCTGTCTACTTCCCTGCTCATTTTTACCACCACCCCTTCTATCCTCAACGGTCTTACCTGTCTTCTATGCCTGTTATGCAATGCTCTGCAAAATATGTTTAAACAATTACAAGAAAGTATCCCTAACCAACCCCACCCAGATATGGTTATTTCTCTCCTTTGTATCCTCCAAGACAAGGCTCTATT